CTCTCTGAAATAACCATCTTCAACCGATCGATTGCCTTATACGAGTATGTGAGGGCGAGTGATCTGGGAGTGTCTTTAGGAGCTAACATGAAGGATAAGTCTATGAAGTCTAGTCCTCAAAGGATGAGGGGTAAGTCCATTTGGACAAAAAAAAGCTGCAAATCGAGGATAGATCAAATCTAGGAGGAGAGATTATTCTGCGCAGTGTTCAAACACTTCCAGAGGTCAATCCAGAAGCACCATGTCATCTAATATATTGTGCATTAACTATAGGAAGCACACACCCAAGAAGCTTATGACTATAATCTCCTAGATGAAAAATTATTACGTGCGGTGTTCGGACTCGTTCGAAGGTAAATCCGGACGCACCACGTCATGTTAATGGTAGGTGGATAGCCACGGTCGCGGACATACGATATTGAGGTGGGTAACCCTAGACATAGACATACCTGAATGGATCCCTTGATAGAGTTTGTTGAGGATGACGAAGCCTTGGTTAGTACTACCAAGGTGAGCCTTCACGCCATGACCTCCATGAAAGAGTGGTTATTGATCGACGGGTTAGCATCAATTAATACTTTTATAGGGTCACATCTCCATTTGGCAAATGCCTCCACAGCTACGATTGAGTTCCTCAATGAAAACTCATAATTAGATATTTGGAGTAGGGGAGTTAATGGGTTGCTAAATGAGTCTGAGTTAAAATTCTAATCGATCTAAATTTGTTTAGTGTTGCTGAACTCGAGCTCGCTCTTTAAAAAATTTTATAGGCTCAGCTTATTTCGAAAGCTCAAGCTTGACTCGGTTATTGAGCACGGTTTTCTTAATTTTAGATTAAAATTTTTAGTTTTTTTTCTATATTTTTTTAAAATTATTTTTTAAATTTTATATAAGAATTATTTTAAAATTATTAAAATATATTGTATAAATCAATTTAATTATTATTAAATACAATATGTTAATTAATCGAGCGGCTCAACGAGCATTGAGCCAAGCCAGAGTTGAGCTTTGAACACGAGTCGATATTCAAGTATTAGACTGTGGCTTATAAGCTCGACTCGAGGAAATCTTTCAACGAGTCAAGCTCTAGCCTGTGTCAGCGCTCCCCTACACTTACGCTCCCTACTTGGGGAGATAGTTATTACGTGTCGGTCAAAGATAAACCGAACGAGTCTGAATGTATACAAGTGCAAATACCGAGTTTTTTGTTGACGTGACGTCTATGGATTATTAGCACTCTGTAACGCGTTCGGTTTGAACCGGACATAATTGAATTGCTCCTACTTGGGAGTGACCAAGAGAACTTATGAGTGTTAAAAACTATAATAGAAAATTAGCCAGCATTATTCTCAATTAAATTTTGATCAGAATAACACTTCAAAATCATATTTTTAAAATAAAACAATACCATAAATAATAATTCACCGAATAAATATCATTATAATATTAACTATATATAAATTAAATATTATAAATTAAATATATATAAATACTTAATATATATAAATAATATATATATATTGAATAATTTATATTATACTATATAAAAAATAATATTTTAAAATATTTTAATAAATATATATGAGGATTATTATATTGCAATATTTTTTTCAATACTTATCATTTAATTATTTTATTTTTTTTTGGGACGTTTGCCATACGTTTACCTTTCCATTTGTATAAATTTCCAGCGAGGGATGTTCATTGTGTCGACCAAAAGCACTGAAAAACATGCGAACTAGTCTGAAAAAACATACCCGGAGCTAGATTATACCCGCTCCAGCTCCACCACCCCACTTACCGCCGACGAGGACAACAACTGGACGACTGGTCGTCGTTGACCTCAACTGGTACCATAGCTCCGGCGACTTTACCAAGCGACTCTCCCTTCTTTTCATTGTCCCTAAGGCGCCGATCAGTTCACCAAGCCAACCCCTCGCCGGAGCACACGCCATCCACGACTGGTCCTATCCCAGCACCACCACCAACAGCCACGCCACCACCCCAACCACCGAAGGGCCTACTAGAAACGAATTATACAATATTAACGAGCCCTCATCCGCATCCCGGCGGCTCATCCATCTCCTCATTGCAGCCGCCGAAGCTATCTCCGGCGACCAGAAGAGCCCTCATCTCGCAAGGGTGATATTGGTTCGGCTCAGAGAAATAATCCCCACCGATCACGCATCTGCTTCCGGCATCGAACGTCTCGCCTCACACTTCACAGAAGCCCTTCTCGCTCTCCTCGACAACCCCCACCAACCCGCCACCCCCACCGGCGAAGTCCTCATCGCCTTCAAATTGCTCCACGACATGTCCCCCTGCGTCAGTTTCGGCCACCTCACCGCAAACCAAGCTATTCTTGAAGCCATCGCCGGCGAACGCCGCGTCCACATTCTCGATTACAATATCGGCGAAGGCGTCCAATGGGCGTCTCTGATTCAAGCGCTGATTTCAAAAAGCAGCCCAGCGGCGCCGCATCTGAGGATCACGGCACTGACTAACGGAATCAAGGGATCTGCTTCGGGAGCGCAGGAGGTCGGCCGGAGACTCTCCGCCTTCGCCGCATCAGTCGGCCAGCCGTTCTCCTTCCGTATCTGCCGCCTTGACCATACCAAGAGGTTTACGCCGGCGGCCATCAAGGTGGTCAAAGGAGAAGCTTTAGTGGTCAATTGCGTCCTCCAACCAGCGCAGCTCAGTTCCTCAGCGTCGCTTACCTCATTCTTAACCGGCGCCGCAGCGCTCGGCCCCCGGATTTTAACCATTATCGAGGAGGAAAGCTCCCCATCCGTCGCTCGAGCGGAAAGGGGGTTTGTGAGCGAGTTCATGGATGAGGTGGAGCGTTATATGGCTATATGGGAATCCCTTGAGACTGGGTTTCCGATGCAGGGGAGGGTGAGGGAGATGGTGGAGCGGGTAATTTTGAGGCCGAGGATTGCGGAGGCTGTAGCGAGAGCATATGGGAGGCAGGATGGCGGCGAGGTGGCGGTGGAGAGGTGTGGCGACTGGATGGCAGCGGTGGGGTTTGAGAGATTGGAGCTGAGTTCTTTTAACGTTTGTCAGGCTCAGCTTCTGATTGGTTTATTCAATGATGGGTTCTGCGTCGATAAAGATTCGCCGAATAAGCTCGCGCTGAGGTGGAAGTCGCGCCGGCTATTGTCCGCCTCTGTTTGGGGTCTTCCTCCGCCGCCTCGCACGTCAGGCTTCACTCCTTTTAGGAGAGAACAGCGAAATTAAGATTATGAAAAAAAAACAAAACGTGTGAGCAATTTCATCTCTCCTCAAGCCACGGAGTCGATTTAAATAATTGTAAATTGAGCTTGAGGTTATTTTTCAGTCTATAGGCTATCTTCTCAAATATTTTACTATTCTCTTTTTTCTTACATTTTCCGTTTTGTATGATTTTGTTCTTCTTTTTCCAAACTGCTTGGCAACAAATGGAAACTTGTATGGATGATCATCAAAATTTGATTCATATGAATAATTATGAGTTATATTTATTTAGAAAATATATATAATAAATGTCTCAAATATATTAATTATAAATATCATTTTATAAATTTTAATTAAGACATTTTTTAAAAAAATATTTAAGACGTTATAAGTGAAACTCACACATCTATATTATCACATAGTAACAGGAGGTAAGCAGCAAAACGAAACAGAACCAGGAAGACGTGAAGTGACACTAAACTTCTTCTTGAATATTCCTCAGTGAAAACACTAGTTAAATAGTTAAAGTAGCTGTTGGAGTGAATATTGTATATCATGTTAGTTATACTACTATGTAGGTGCAGAATGCTCGTAGGGAGTTGTGGAGACAAGTTTGTATTCAGCGAGGGCAGGCGGTAGTTGGAGTCGCAGTTTAACACCGTTTCCCGCAAGGCTGACGGGAGGACGGACCAAGAAGCTGAAGCTTGTTACGAAGCTCGAGCATTCGAGTAGACGAGAGAGGCTTTGTGAAGATATCTGCAAGCTGATCGACCGTGGAGACATGATGAACAGCAATGTGGTTCACCTGAATACAGTCACGGATAAAATGATGGTCGATCTCGATATTCTTGGTCCGAGCATTGAAAATTGGGTTGCAAGCAATAGACATTGCTGAAACGTTGTCGCAAAAGAGAATGGTTAGCTGTTGAGGAAGAAGGAAGTCTTCAAAGAGGCGGCGAGTCCAAATTATATCAGTGGCGGCAGCGGCCATGAACCGGTATTCAGCCTCAGTAGATGATCTGGCGACGGTGGTTTGTTGTTTAACAGACCAGGCAAGCAAGGTAGCACCAAGGAAAAGATAGTATCTGGTAGTAGATTTGCGGTCAAGATGATCGCCAGCCCAGTCGGAGTCAGAGTATGCAGTAAGGGTTAACTCAATTTTTGGTAGAAAGAAGGTGTAGTTTATAGTCCCTTGGAGATACTGTAATACCCGTTTGAGAAGCTGGAAGTGAATTAGCAGGGGATTATGCATATGTTGACAGAGCTTATTAACGGCAAAGGCAATGTCAGGGCGGGTGGAGGTAATGTATTGAAGGGAGCCAACCAACTGGCGGAATAATTCGGGTTGGATGAAGGATACCTGAAGGTTTGGATCGGAGGGATATTTGGATGGTAGAGGGGTTTGTAGAGGTTTACAATTGGACATAGAAGTCGCGTGTAGAAGCTTGGTAATGTAAGTTTTCTGAGTTAGGTGGTAGCCATCAGCGGTCTTGATAAATTCCGTCCCAAGCAATTTGGAAACTGATCCAAGTGTTCTTGTCTGAAACCGCTGGGCAAGTTTGTGAATCAAACTAGAAATGTATTGCGGATCGCTGCCAGTAATTAAAATGTCGTCAACATACACCAGTATGTACACACGAAGATCGTTCTGATGGAGATAGAAGAACGATGGATCAGCTAAGATGACAGTGAACTGTTGATCAAGGAGATAATTTGATAATGTAGCAAATCAGAGTCTTGGTGCTTGTTTGAGGCCATAGATGGCTTTGCGCAAGAGGCACACATGTTGGGGAAAGTTTTGATCTTCAAAACCCGGAGGTTGAGTCATATAAATGGTTTCATTTAGGAAGCCATGAAGAAATGCATTCATTACATCAAGTTGATGTATAGTCGAGTTATGATGAAGAGCTACAAGAATAAATAACCGGATGGTAGTGTGCTTGACTACTGGACTGAAAGTTTCAAAGTAATAAACTCCATATGCCTGCTTGAAGCCCTGAGCTACCAACCGAGCCTTCTACCGAGCAATTGTCCTGTCGGCGTTGTGTTTGAGTTTGTAGATCCATTTGCACCCAATGGCTTGTTGATCGGACGGTAAAGGCACCAAGAACCAAGTGCCCTGAGCTTGAAGAGCACGAAATTCTACAGACATTGCTTGACGCCAATGCAAGTCCTTGTTTGCAGTAGTGAAACAGGTAGGTGTGGGGTGGACGGTATGGGATAAATCAAGAAGAATACGTGGTTTGAGAGTGCCTGTTTGAAGTCTGGTGACCATGGGGTGATGACTTGGAGGTTCAGGAGGAGTAGTCAATGACGAAGAAGAAAAAACAAAGGTAGAGTGATTGGTGGAGGATGAAGTGTTATGGGGAGATGGTATAACTGGAGGTTGTGTTGAATGAGATGAAGGGGGCGGAAGAGACTGTGAAGTAGTAGGAGCAGGTGGTAAATGTGTTGTTGGTGGAGAGGGAGGAAGAT